AAGCACAGATTGTCACAATGGCGCGTAATCGGGTAAACTTTCTCGATTCTTATTTTGTTTTTTTTTTTGTTTAGGTTTCTTCATAAATCAATTAATGGAATCTCAGCTTCTGTTTGTTTGTTTCCATCGATGTTTTTTCCATTCCTTCAATAATGCTTTAAAAGTTGATTTTGACTTCGTTTTATGCATTTGCTAGTGTTCTTTGTTTACTGTTGAAATCTTCTTTTGATTCATATTCCAAGTGTTTTTTTTTCAGTGATTTAGGGTTTAGAATTTTCCATTTCGTTTTGGAAATTAGTACTGATTTCAACAACGGAAATCGAATTTTAATTTTTTGTTTGGATTATGTGTTGTTGGAAGCAGGAGGGTTTGGTTTTGTTGCTTGATGTAGGACCGGCGATGCATGATGTTCTCCCTCATGTTGAGAAAGCTTGTTCCTTGCTTCTGCAAAAGAAGGTATTTTTTCTTCTGAAATTATTGCTCACATTTTTCTTGTTTCTCTAATTGAAAAGGGTAAATTTTGAGCTTTTTTTCCTTTTGGGTATTTCATTATTGGCTTCTGGTTTGTTGTTTGTTGTTGCAGTTGATTTACAACAAGTATGATGAAGTTGGGATTGTTGTCTTTGGAACTGAAGGTTGCTCTCTCTTCTTACTGATTTAGGAGCCCTTTTATCCACAAGTGTTATTTGAACACTCTCTTCTCGAGTAGTATGATGCCTTTGATAATGGCCTTAGATGTTAGGTTTTGAGTAGTAAATAAGGAATCAATCGTCTTTGCTGCTAGAATTGTTGATATGGTTCTTTCTATGAGTAGTATCAACTATCGGGCATTTGTGATAGTTTTTTATATCATGTTTCATGTGACCTCTGCAGAAACCCAAAACGAGCTTGCTAGGGAAATAGGTGGATATGAGCATGTTACGGTTTTAAGGAATATCAGAGTTGTGGATGAAGCGGTGGTTGAGTATGTAAAGCGGCTCCCTCGAGGAACTGTAGCTGGCGACTGTATCCTACTAGCTTATTTACAGCTTTGCCATTTTTCTTTTGTTTATTTTCTTTGGTTCTTTGACTGGCTTCAGTTCTTGATGCTTTAATTGTCGGGATGGATATGCTAATAAAGATGTATGGCGCTGCGCAAAAGGGGAAAAAACGGTTGTGTCTCATCACGAATGCTGCATGTCCTACCAAGGATCCGTTTGAAGGGACGAAAGACGATCAAGTCAGTACTATTGCTATGAAAATGGCTGCGGAGGGTATAAAGATGGAAAACATTGTTATGAGGGCCAATTTAAGCGGTGATGTTCATGAGAAAATAATAGACGAGAATGATCATTTGTTGAATTTATTCTCCAGCAACGCCATTGCGAAAACAGTGTATGCTGAGAGTCCTCTCTCACTGCTAGGTTCCTTAAAAACCCGTAGAGTTGCTCCAGTTACTCTGTTCAGGGGTGACCTTGAGATTAACCCAACAATGAAGATTAAGGTAACATTTTCTCGTGTACAATGTTTCGGATATCATGCAACTTGCTGTTCTTTGGTGCTATTGAATACTTAATCCATTTAAAGATTATATATATAATAATCTGAGAAAGTTTCTGAGATTATTAGTTTTGAATTTGAATTTTGCAGGTGTGGGTTTATAAGAAAGTGGCTGAGGAGAGACTTCCCACACTAAAAATGTATTCTGACAAAGCGCCACCAACTGACAAGTTTGCCAAACATGAAGTAAAAATCGATTATGATTACAAAGTTACTGCAGAATCTAGTCAGGTTCTTGCTCCAGAAGAAAGGATCAAGGGCTTTCGCTATGGACCTCAGGTTGTTCCTATATCACCAGATGAGATGGAAACACTCAAGTTCAAACCTGATAAAGGCATGAAGCTTCTGGGATTTACTAAGGCGTCAAGCATATTGCGGTAAGCATAAAGACACATATATAAAAATATCTTTGTCTGTAAACTCTTGGTTGTTAAAGTTGAGAGAATGTCTTTTTGTGTGTTTTTCTCTGCATGTCAATGAAGACATTATTACATGAAAGACGTGAATATAGTTGTTCCTGACCCGAGCAAAGAAAAATCTGTGCTTGCCGTCTCTGCTATTGCTAGAGAAATGAAGCAAACAAACAAGGTGGCAATTGTACGTTGTGTCTGGAGAAATGGACAAGGGAATGCAGTTGTTGGGGTCCTGACTCCAAATGTGTCTGAGCGAGATGACACCGTAAGTTAACAGTTTTTATCTGGCTCATACGAACAATTCTACTCGAATCTGACTAATTTGATGATCATTTCCCTCTTTTGCAGCCTGATTCTTTTTACTTCAACGTGCTACCTTTCGCCGAGGATGTCCGTGAGTTTCCATTTCCTTCTTTCAGCAGATTTCCTGCGTCATGGAAGCCAGATGAGCAACAGCAAGCAGTGGCAGATAATTTGGTTAAGATGCTTGACCTTGCACCTTCTGCTAAGGAAGAAGTCCTTAAGCCTGATCTTACTCCCAACCCCGTCTTGCAGGTAAAACCAGTTTTTTCTTCTTTTTTTTTTGCTTTGAATATTGATACTTGTTTTCCAACTCATTCTCATGAAAGATTTTATATATATCTTATCAGCGCTTTTACGAATACCTTGAGTTGAAATCGAAATCCACGGATGCTGCTTTACCTCCAATAGATGAAGCTTTCAAGAGAATTATGGAGCAGGATCCAGAACTCTCTTCCAACAATAAATCCATAATGGATTCATTTCGTGGAAGTTTTGAAGTCAAGGAGAACCCAAAGGTTCGTTTCGTTCTCCTGAATGAATTCATCAGCTTTCAGCAAGAAACTTGAATTATCATTTGTAATTCTTTCATATGACTTTCATTGCAGTTGAAAAAAACCTATAAGAGACTATTACGGGATAAGCCATCGGGTTCAGATGATGAAGACAATCGCATGGTCACTTATGATAACGCCAACGAGAACAAAATTGACAACATTGGAGATGCAAACCCGATCCAAGATTTTGAAGCAATGATATCCCGTAGAGATAACCAAGATTGGATCGATAAAGCAATCACACAAATGAAAACCCGAATACTTAAGCTCGTAGAAAAAGATAGTATCGATGAAAGTGACAGAGCGTTGGAGTGTTTACTCGCTTTACGCAAAGGCTGTGTCTTGGAACAGGTCTCATTTCCGTTCTCTCTATCTTGAACTTGTGGCATTTTGCTCTCTTATTGACAAGCAATGGATTTTTCTTCTTGCGTATATGATCAGGAGCCAAAGCAATTCAACGAGTTCTTGAATCATCTATACGAGTTATGCAGAGAAAGAAACTTAGCCCATTTTCTCAAACATTTCAAGTCGAAGAAGATCACTTTGATTCCCAAATCCGAAGCAGCGGACAGGTTTATGGATAGACAGAATCTTCAATTTTGGATATTTGTTGTTTCATGACGAAATTGGTCTGAATGTTTTTGGTTGGTTGGTCGTTGCTTTAATGCAGTGATGTAGCGGACGAGGAAGCTGGAGATTTCTACGTCAAACAAGAGCCAAAGCTCGAGAGCTAAATCCGCCTTAGTCACTGTGATCTTATTATGTCCAAAACGGCGCCGGTTTTGTCTGACTTTTTGGTTGGTTTTTTTTTTTTGTTTTGGGACAAACTTCTTTTGCTTGTTTATGACTCATAAGTCATATAACTAATCTCAGAAACAACTCCTTTTGTAATTATTCAAACTGAGTTTTTAATTTATTAAAACAGCATTATCTTTTCCTTTATCTTACAATCTAAACACAAATGTTTGAGCAACTAATCTAAACACAAAATTTGCTACAGTTGTAAATTGTAACTTTCAAACACAAACGTTAGGGGTGCTCAGTGGAAGATGAATTTTTAAAGAATCTCAGATTCCACTGCTAGTGATTGATTTGTGGAATTATATATTCTTTGTCAAATACAATATTGTTGGTTTGATGACTTGTAAATTGCATTCAAACTTTTATTATTATTTGAAAAATTTAGCCATCGTTGATTCTACAAATCAATTAGAATCCATTGTTACAGTTTTACTCATTAAACATAACTTTCATAATATACAGAAAGAAAAAACCGTATCCGGTTTAGAGTAGACTCCTATTAACCGAGTTGAAAATGTTAGACATGAGTAACTGGCTGCTAAATATGTCTAATGAAGGGATGTTAACAGTT